CTTGTGGTGTCCTCTTTGGAGCACCTAGGTAGAATCATAAAGTATTTGAATAAGTTTTGCTATTTTTTACTAGATACTTCTCCCTTTTTTCCTCTTATGTACTGTTACTTGTGAAATCTCTCTCTCTCTCTCTCTCTCTCTCTCTCTCTCTCTCTCCCTCTCTCTCTCTCTCCCTCTCTCTCTCACAGAGGTCTGCTTACCCTCTGCCTCCCAAGTGTTGGAATTAAAGGTGTGCACCACCACCACCTGGCTTGATATATATTTCTCATAAAATTAAAGTTGTTTTTCCAAATATTCACCATCTCCTACTGTTTTACATGTTTTGCTTAATTATAAAAAGCATTACCTGTTAAGCTTTTTCTGTTGCCCTTTTTCTAATGTGATCCTTAGCTCCCCTGTAATACACAGCTGTCATCCTACTACAACTAGAGGATGAGGCAGGAAGATCCCTAGTTCTGGAACTCCAGGTTACAGGCCCTGTCTCCAAACAGCAGCAGCAACAAATAATACAGTAATTAATGACTTAATGAGGACTCTGCAAGTTGATATTTTGGCAATTCTTAGAGAGCCCACAACATTGTTCTCCAATATCTTCTCTTTCTTGTGAGCATTTCTGTGCACCCTAGTGCTTAGCTTAAAGCTATACTAAAATAATTAAACCCAAACTCACCAAAAAGAGACAAATTAGTGATTATGAAATTTTAGTGTTAAAAAAAAACTATATCAAGTATTTATTAAAAATACAGATTGCCGCCGGGCAGTGGTGGCGCACACCTTTAATCCTAGCACTTGGGAGGCAAAGGCAGGTGGATTTCTGAGTTTGAGACCAGCCTGGTCTACAGAGTGAGTTCCAGGACAGCCAGGGCTACACAGAGCAACCCTGTCTCTAAACAAAACAAAACAAACAGATTGCCAAGGCCCATTTTCTAGCTGGTGAACTCAGGTCTGTAGAGAATTCTAAAGTTGGTGGTCTTAGAACTAGTTTTGGAAACATACATTCCTCCAGTTTCTATTTTGGTTTTGTAATCTTGTATATGTTAGTCACACTGGCAGGGCATACATCTGTGATACAGTCAGTCTACCTGGGATCACTGAGTTTGAGGCTAGCTTGTCTACACATGGAGAGTGTTTCCCCACCCCACAAGATAATTTACTCTACTTTGTTTCAATATTATCTCAGAAGTTATTTGCCATTTATTACTGGCATTTTTAATGTTTATTCTGAATCCACTCATTGGAATTCTCATCCAACTGTCCAGGAAACTTCCTGGATTCCCTTTCATGTTTTGTTGGATTTTATGTCCTCCAGTTCTCAAAGCATATATTTGTAGCTGATTGTATATTTAAGTATACACAATGCAGGCTTGTGATATCCCTTGGTAGTGGTTATAAATTGTTTCTGCCGTTCTTACTGAGAAAGACCTTGAAATTTTTTAACTTAGTTGTAGTGGTATTCATTGTAGAAGTCCAAATATTCTCTTAAAACTATTGCTGTCTACTGATGATCATCAAAACTATTCTGCCTATCCTAAATTATTAAAAAAAATTTATTATAAATATATGAGTGTTTTGCCTGCATGTTATTTCTCTGCATGTCTGGTACCCAAGAAAGCCAGAAGAGGGTTTCGGATCACCAGAAGAGGGTATAGGATCCCTTGGAGCTGGGTTTACAGATAGTTGTGAGCCATCTGAAGTGGGTGCTGTGAACTGAACTCTAGTCCTCTGCAAAAGTAGCAAGCACTTCAAACTGTTAAGCAATCTCTTTAATTCTCTTTAATTCCCAGTGTCTACTCTAATGTGCTATATGAACCAGAAAGATAAACACAGTAATTTACCCTTCAAGGGGTGAGATGATCAAAAAAGAACATTTTTATGTTTAAATATACAAAGCATAATATACAGTTACCTATTGTGTGACACAGTTCAAGTTGAATAGACAGTAGATACAAACAGATGGTAAAATATCTTGGGTTTGAGAATGAATGCCTTTTCCCTCTGTAACTTTTGAAAAATAGCCAAATTATAGGGAACAAGATAGCAGCTAGCAGTTTCATCAGCATAGGGCTTTTCAGAATATTTATAAAGGGTAAGAATCTGTTTATATTTTGTCTTTAATCTTTCATGCTTTGACAGTTCTTAGTCACCTGAAGTTGAATTAGATGTCTATTTTTGTTTTTTGAGACAGGGTTTGTGTAGCCCTGCCTGTCCTGGAACTAACTCTATTGACAGGGTGTCCTACACAGATACACCTATCTCTGCCTGGGATTAAAGGCATACACCACCTCTGCCTAGTTTAGAGGCAGTTGTTTTTAAATCTGGCCATGTGTGATAGTACACAGCACACTTTTAATCCCCAACACTTCACTCAAAGGCAAAAGCCAGCAGATTGCTGGTGAGTTCAACGCCAATGGGGAAGAGACCTCTCAAAAAGAAAGAAAGAAAAAGAAAAAAAAAATATTTGATCTACCTTTGCATAAACTATAAACCAAGGTTTACTAATTTAAAGAACATATTAAGAGTACAATTAAAATCGACCCCAAGTGGAACATTTTTAGGTTTAGCTTATTGTTGTGTGGTAAAATACAGGAATGCCTATAGTGCACACTTCCCAGATTAATCCTTTGAATAAATGTAATTTGGTGGTAGCATACACCTTTGAGTCCTGCACTCAGGAAGTAGAGGCAAGCAGATCTCTTGTGTTTGAGGCCACCTGGTCTATAGAGTGAATGCTATGGCAACCAAGGCTGTACAGAGAAGAAACCCGGTCTCAAAAACCAAAAGATATGGACAGGCTATTTTCATCACCTCGTAAAGGTGAGCTTGCTTAACTTTGTCTTTCCATCAAGAATCACTGATTTGTGTTTCTAGCTTTGCTTTTTGTGAAATATCATATTAGAATGTTGCAGTATCAGTCAAGCATCTTGAGAGTCTGCATATACATGCCAGTGCACGCTCATAGGTCAGAGGACAACTTTCAGTCATGTTTTCTTCTCCACCAAGGAGTCTAGGGACCAAAATTAGACTGTCAGGATTGCATAGCAAGTCCCTTTACCATCTCACTGGCTCACTGTTAAAACTGTGTAAGAAACTTGTTCCCTTAACACTTCTGTTAATCTTATTATCGCCAATGCTTTGTATGATTGAGTTTTTTAAAAAATAAGTGGTAGTATACACCAACTGAGTTTCTTAACAAGAAGCCTCTTGTTAGGTAAGACTCCATATTTCCCTGAAACTCACTCCCTATCCCAGGCTGACCTCTAAATTCTCCTACCCTACCTTTTGGAGAACTGCAATTACAATGTATGTGGTACCACACCTTGTCTGATTTAAAACAACTCATGTTCTGGGTAGAACTCCACATGGTTAGTTACAAACAGATAAATTCATTTATGGTAAAAATATTAAGAAACACATGAAGGGTGTTTAGTGGGGAGGAACTTTGGTGGTTTTAAGATCTTTCTATGGTGGTCTTATGATCTTTTTATGGTGGTTTTGTGAGAATACTTACAACTGTCTTCCTCGTAAGAAACGGCCTAAGTAGAAGGAATACAATATGGATACAGTGGAGATATGCCAAAATGTAAAATGTAGGTCAGCTCTAGATTACATTTCAACAGACGAATACAAACATTAGAAAATTACATTTAAGACATTTTCATTTGGAGTTTCTTCTGGTATCTTATCTACATTGTAGTATGTGTTTAAATTTATAGAATGTTAAAATATATATATGTATGTATATAATTTTGCCACTTCTCTTACAAAGGAAATTGTTTCACAGATATTGATAATCTAAATTCAACTTTTTCCTTTTTTTTTTTTTTTTTTTTTTAGGTTATTTTAACAACAGAAACAGGGCCAGGTGTGGTGGAGGCAGAGACAAGGGGATCTCTGAGAGTTCAAGGCCAGCCTGTTCCACATAATAAGTTGCAGGACAGGCAGGGCTCGTGTAGGAAGACCTACCCTGCCTCAAATAAACCAAAAGTAACAGAAATAAGCCAAAAGAACTCTTTTTTAGCAGATAAGTACTGTAAACATTTTATTACAAGAAATATTTAAGCCCAATTTGATACTTTAAAGTTTTAAAGTTTTTGTTTCAGGTGCCAATATCAAGATAATTTCCAGTCATAAAATATTTATACAATCTGAAAATAAATGTTGTCTATTCATGTCAAATTAGGATATGTCATATTTTCTACAAAAGGCTGGCTGTTCCTCAGTAGTGGTTACAGAATGTCCCTACATTAAACAAAACATTATTCAAGAACCACAGTAGGATATGATCATTCTAGTTAAAGAGGACTGGAGAGATGGCTCAGTGGTTAAGTGTGCTCTTACAAAGGACCTGGGTTCAATTCCCAGCACCCATGATTCAGTCATATATAACTTTAGTTCTAGATTAAAGCACTCTTCTGGCCTTCATGGGCACCAGTCATAGGCATTGTAATATACGTAAACATGCAAAAAAAACAACACAAAAATAAATCTAAAAATTACTCTTTTAATTCTAGTTAAAACGGAATTGTAAATTAACTTGGGGGCTCAATCTTTTGGCCTTAGACTGGGCACTACATTTTTTTGTTTTGGTGTTTGAATACTAGCTTTGAACTTAAGAGATCACCTGCCTCAGCCTCCAGAGTACTAGAATTAAAGGCATGTACTACCACACCAGAATAGCACCAAGAATTTGTATGTATATATACATGTAATCTGTATATATACATATTTTTACTTTTGTATTTATTATATGTATAAATATATATCATTTATTTTTATTTTATATTCATTGGTGTTTTGCCTGCATATACCTCTGTTTGTAGGTGTCAGAGGCCTGGAACTGGAGTTACAGACAGGTGTGAGCTGCCATGTGGGTGCTGGGAATTGAACCTATGTCCCTTGGAAGAGCAGCTCTTAATTGCTGAGCCATCTCTCCAGGCCCAGCTCTAAGAATTTTTAATCAAACATGAATCTACATTTTAATATCACACAGATATCTTCAATTACCCAACAATGTTTATAAGACAAAATTTAATGAAAATTAGTCAATGGGTATATATAATCCATGGTGCTAGCCATATGCAACTGTCACAGAAATGTAAACCAGCGGATGGTGAAGAAAATGTTACATATTGTCATCATCTGATTCATCTTCTTCCTTCAAAGATTCCTGTTAAAAGAAAGAAGTGTTTTTAAGTTTTTCATCTTGATATATCCTATGGAACCTTCACTTTAAACATCTGTAATTACAAATTATTTATACCTGAAAAGTACCACATTTAAAGATAACCCAGTAAGTCTATCTTGGCTTATGGATAAAAGCATTAAATGTCCCAGAGGGAAAAACCTGGAATTGTCGTTTTTTTCTTTTTGGGTTTTAGAGTTTCTTTTGCCCTGTCTGACCTAGAACTTGCTCTGTGGACCAGGCTGGCCTTGAACTGAGAGATGCTCCTGCCTCTGGCTCCCTATTGCTGTGAATACAGGTGTGCACCACCATGCCAAGCAACCCTGAAATTTTCAAGCAGACAACTCCTTTTTAAAAAGTGACAAAACACCAACAACAAAAAATAAAAATAAAAGTTTAGAGCTAGGACAAATCTACCCCTACCAGAGATAACCTAAAAAACAGTTTACCCTTAGTTCAAACAAATATCAACCCAAATAACTTTATGACTCAGTCCATGGTACTGTTTAGAACAATGTTTATGTTGTTGCTTACCTTGGCATATTTCTCTGCTTCTTCCCTTATGTCTTTGGGGACAATTTCATGTCTTCCTTTAGTTACTATAAAATCAAACCATATATTAAAAATGAGGATTTTAATTTGTAGTACTGTGAACTCTCGCTAATCTACAAGTAGGTAGGGTTCATTTTCTGTTGTTTTCTCCCCCCAAATAATCATTATTCACAAGGTGAGCTTACTCAAAAATAACAGTAAGTTTGACTTATAAATCTTGATAAGGAGATAAAACATCATGTAGATATTTGAATGAGAACTATTCACAACATCAGTCAGTTATTGCATAGGATTCTTTCATTAACTTGTCTTAAAGTGCAAATAAATTCTCGAATAAATGTACAAATGTGACTTACATTCACCAACCCAGCTGAGCTCTAGTTCAAAGGCTTTATCCTTAACTTCATCATGTACTATGTAAATGCTAAAACAGAAAAGAATTAACACAAAATTGGTCAAATCCAAACACAAGTTCTATAAACAGTGAATATAAAGTAGACATTGTGTGCCTAGTATTATTTATAAAATGATACACTCTCTAGTCTAGTTCAACAATAGAAAAGACAAACTAGGAGCTGGAGGAGACGACTCAGTTGTAAGATCACTTGGGCTTGATTCTCAGCACAGACAATGTTGACTTAGAACCCATCTCTAATCTGTCCCCCTGCAATCCAAAACCCTCTCCAGTCTCTTCAGGTACCACATACAGACTTGGTACATGCAAGCAAACTACTTAGACATAAAAAATAAAAGGTTTTTTTTTTTCTTAAAATGTCAAATTACACAGGAATTGAGACACTCTCTACAAATACTGATATATTTCTCAAGTTGTTTCTTTGGTTTTAGAGCTTCAAATAAAAGACGTCTCAGAAAGAAAACAGGTTCAAATTAGAAAGACCATCAGGAACTGTGCCACGTTTTTCTATTTATAAACAAATATTTCAGAAGCTAACTAATAATTTAAACCATCTGTCCCGATTGTTTAAATGCCACTCATAATGGTTCTTAGGGTATAATACATTACAAACAAGTAGGCACATAACCAGTCATAGTAACAGTAAACAGCTGAGGTTCAGCTGGCAGCAATGGCTCCTGCCTATAATCCCAGGAGGTTAAGACAGGAGGATCCTGAATTTGAGGCTGTCCTCAAAATGACAAAAACCTCCCTGTGATAGAAAAACAAAGCTTTCCATTTCCTTCCTTACTTTTAGAGGCTCTGCTAAAGCCTTGCCATATAATACAACAGAGTACCTTAGTTACAGGATGAAAAGATGGCTTTCTGAAGAGGAACAAGTACCACCAATCACAAATGAATGAGAGGTGCCAAAGAGCTGACTTCCAACAGGAACTTCAAAGACTGCTTCAACAACAGACCCTGGGTTGTACCATACTCAAACTATTTTAAGGAATTACTTTCACTTTCCCATGTAATATGGTTCTTAGCTGATTTAAAAAAGGAAGACTGCTTCATAACAGAAGGTAAATGAAGAGAAATGAGTCTTGGCAAGAATGGAAATAGTAAGAAACAAAATCCCTCTGTGAGAGATTGTTAAGTACCATCTTTTATTAGTATAATAGAACCTAGATTTCCCCCCCTTGTTAGTATTATTAAATGTAAATCCTGAAAGATACTATTGCATAAGTAGTAAGTTTGTTCATGTAGTTTACCTGAAAAGGCAGCTAGAAAGTGAGTACTCTACACAATATTTTAACAGCAAGTGTTGGGCTGGAGAGATGGCTCAGCAGTTAGGAGCACAGACTGTTCTTCCAGCATTCCTAAGTTCAATCCCCAGCAACCACATGGTGGCTCACAACCATCTGTAATGGGATCCAAAGCCCTCTTCTAATGTGTCTGAGGACAGCAACAGTGTACTCACATACATTAAAAAAAAAAAAAAATCTTTAAAAATGTTTTAACAGTGTCTACATTCTTTGATCTAAATTTATTATTACTTTTTTTGTTTGTTTTTTGTTGACTTTTTGAGACAGGGGTTTCTCGTGTAGTCCTGGCTGCCTTGGAAATTGCTCTGTAGACTCGCCTAGAACTCATAGAGATCCTCCTGCCTCTGCCTCCTGAATGCTGCGACTGGCCTACACTACTGCTCCTGACAAATTAATACACTGGACTCACCATCTACCTGTAATGGAAAGCCTCAAGCTGTTTAAGAGGTTTTGTTAAAAGAACTTATACATCAAATGTGATGATAAATCAGAAATGACTAAAATATCAGCCAGCTTCATAAATCACATAAAGAAATAGCTATAAACCTACAAGATACGTTAATGAAGCTAAGTGTACAGCTTGATGTCAGAACAGAGCGTGTGTGAGGCCCATGCGCAATTCTAACAACACATAGACACAGTGTTTAAGCAATTGCGTAAGAAACTTTTTTGGGATTTATTTACTTTTATGTGTATGAATGCTTTGCGTGTGCATGCGCTCGCGCTTGTTGCCCTTAGGTCAGAAGAAGAATAATCCCAGGTCTCCTGCAAGAACAAGTGCTCTTGACCACTTAGCCATTTCTCCACCCCTGTAAGCATTCAAACATAGTTTCTAAATGTCTACTGTGTTTGTTCTCTTCCTCTCTTTGAGAAGATGTTAAATTTCCCATCATGGGAGCATATGCTTTTAATCCCAGCAGAGGTAGAAGCAGGCAGATGGATCTTCTTTTGGTTTCTAGGGCTGTATTTTGAAACTTCTATTTCTAAATAAAATAAAGATGTAACTTGAATATATTCAGGCTAAAGGTGTATCTAAGTGATAGTACATGCATATGCTTAACATATTTAAAGACCTGAATTCGTGGTACACACACCCCATACACAAAAAGAAAATTTTCACATACAATAGCCTCTTAAGAGTTTATATAGAGATTAGGTCATGTAAGGTTTTTCTTGTGGATAGCAGATAAAATCTCAAGTAAAGTTTTTCTTGTGGACAGCTGATAAAATCTCAACTTACATTTTTGCAACTTCTTTAACTACATCACGGCAAGTCATTTCCTTCATCTATAAGAAAAGCATACTAATTAATTTTGTGTCATGTACAGACCAAGAGTGGTGATACACATCTTTAATTGCAGCACCTAAGAGACAGACAGGTCTCGAGAATTTGAGGCCAGCCTGGTCAACACAGCAAGTTCTAGGACAGCCAAGGGTACATATAGACCCTGGCTCAAAAAAAAAAAAAAAAAAAAAAAAAAGGAAGGAAGAAAGGAAGAACTATGTTAAGTTCCTATTTGCTTAACTATTTCCGTAAGTTAGTATTAATCACCAGTGTTCTTTTATTTTAGCAATTGACAATACCTTACTTCAATTAATTATATAGGTGGTAATGAACTGACAGGTAGATGCTATGAACTGAAACCAGGTCCTCTGCAAGAATAGTGAGTGTCCTTAACCACTGAGCCATCTCTGCAGCTTCAGGGACACCTTTTAAGTTAACAACAATTAAAGGCTGACGAGATGGCTGAGCAGGTAATGGCAAATGCCACAAAGCAGGACCCATATGGTGAGCTATCTTCTGACCTCTACTCATAAGCCATTGTATGCATGTATCCACAAAACTAGATCATACACACACACACACACACACACACACAGTAACAAAATTTGAGAGTCTCACTATGTATTCCCTGGCTGGCCTCAAACTTAATAGAAAACCATTCGCTTCTGCCTCCAATGTGCTGGGATTAAACGCATGTCCATATAAAACAGTATTTTTTAACAGTAAAACTAAGCAAAGAATATTTTATATTATATACATATACACATTCATTACAGGAATTATATTTCATGGGAGATAAAAGTACAAAGCAAAAGTAGGAAAAAGAAAGAAGGAAAAACAAGTAAGCTGCCAAAGGCAGGTGAGATGGTTCAATGGACAGTGGCATATACCACCATCCCTGGTACTTCCAGGAGCACACCGTGGCAAATGTGCTCATGCATATGCACACACAAAGTTAAACAACGAAATTTAAAAAAAAAAAAAAATAGGGAAAATAAAAGCTTATTTCCCAGCCAGGATTATATAGTAAGGCCTGTCTCAAAAAAAAAAAAAAAAACCCAAAAAACAAAAAAGTTTTTACAATAGAAATCATTAATTATTCCATAAATGGACAATTAGAAATCAGGAGAAAAACCTACATAAGTGTCCAGCTGAGTTGTTTGGATACTACAGCCATTAGAAGAAACTGGCTAGTGTGACGGCACAGCTGGGAACTCAGCACTGAGGAGGCGGACGCGCTAGGGTACAGTTGGAGCTTTAATGACAGGTTTAAAATAGCATTTTAGGAAATCTGTTTTTTATTTTTCAGATACTAATGTGAGGAAAGATTATAATACTCATAGTGGTTTGAGTTGTGAGATTTAAATATGTTGTCTTCCAAAGAGATTCATTAATGTTTGTTTTCTGTTTTAGGAGAAGCATCCATGTCAGGAAGCTAACGGCCAGTGTTCTGTAATTTCAGCTCCAGGACGGCAGGGAATACCTTCCTCTGGCTTCTGTGGGCAACTGCATTCTCAAGTGTACATTCCCATGCATATAATTAAAATATAACCTTTGAAAGTTCACATAACAAAAGCAGACAATAGTCAAAATATTTGGAAAAACCAGGTTTTAAATAAAATATTTTCATTACTAATAGCTGAACATCTGGCTCATAGAGAGTAGAAAGTGGGTAGTTTTAATCTAAAATAAGATCTCACTGTATAGTCCAGACTGGCTTCTAAACTTGCAGCAATCCTCCTGCCTCAGCCTTCTGAATCCCAGAATTACAGGGGTGCACCATCAAGCTACATTTAAAGTGGGTAGTTTTAAACTTCACACTTTCTCTATGCACAAAGTAAAGACAAAGCACTTGAACAGACACTAGTGTTTTTAAGATTAAAAGCTGTGTCCAAGCTGGGCAGTGATGGCGCACGCCTTTAATTCCAGCACTTGGGAGGCAGAGGCAGGTGAGTTTCTGAGTTCAAGGCCAGCCTGGTCTCCAGAGTGAGTTCCAGGACGGCCAGGGCTACACAGAGAAACCCTGTCTCCAAAACAAAACAAAACAAAACAAAAAAAGCTGTGTCCAAAGACAAGACGTAAAAGAAAACAAAACCTTTACTGCAGTTGATCTAGAATGGACTTAAATTTTTGTGTATACACACACACACACACACAAAAATAAAGCTGTTTGGGGAGCTGGACAGATGGCTCAAAGGTTAATTGTACTTGATATTCTTGCAGAGGGACCAGGTTCAGTTTGCAGCATTTACAAGATGGCTTAGAACCATCGCAAACTATTGCTAGGGAAGCTGATACTTTCTTCAGGCCCCTTTGGATATTAGACACATATGTGGTATACAGACGTGAACACAGGCAAAACCCTCATACACACAAAATAAATCTTTATAGTTGTCATATATTTTTTTCCTGGAGGCTTTACAGAAGCATCAAAACCATACAGTGATACAAGATACAAGTCATAGGTAGGTTGTTGCCATGTTCTCTATCTAACCAATTGGCTTCACAAACTTCTCTAAACATTAGGCTGCATTATACAGTTGGACGAAGATTTGTAAATTCCACTTCTAGCAAAACCCAGCATTCAAAATATACTTTACCTGAAGCTTTTCTATTTCTGTCTTTGCAGCTTGCCTGGCTTTGCCAATGGCACAGCCCCAGTAACCCTGTTTAAAAAGGAAAGGAAGAAAAAAAGTCAATTAGTACATATTTTCTGACATTAAAAGTTACTATTTAGTTTTTGATTTGCTGGTTGTGGTGTACTTGAAACCAAGAGCCAGGTAGATCTCTGTGATTTGGAGGCCAGCCAAGACTACATGGTGAGAACCTTGTCTCAAAAAACAAACAAGTCCCCAGCAAATTAAAAAATAGCCAGGTACATTCACATGAACATAAGGAGCTTGAAATATCAAACCTAGTTCTAGAAGAATCTAGGTCATGGTTGGAGAGGTGGCTCAATGGTTAGGAGCACTTGGTGCTCTTGCAGAAGATCCATATTGAAATCCTAGCACCTAAATGGTTGTTTATGAACATCTGTAATTCTAGTTCCAGGGGATCCAATGTCATCTTCTAACCTTTGCAGGCACCAAGCACACACAAGGTACACATGCATGCAGACAGAACATATACATACAAACACACAAAAAAATGAATAAATCTAACTTAAAAAAATTTAGGTTTTGCCCCCACTCCCACGCTAGATTTCCAACTGATGGCCTTGCAAATCCCAGGCAACTACTCTACCACTGAGCATCATATCTTACCATATATTCATATTAAGATATAACACAATGATGAGACAATCACACACATAATCAAAATACTGTGTTCACTAGGTAGTTCTTATAAAGAGCATTCTAAAAGTCAGTCCTAAGTTTTCTCTGCTTCATAACATATGTTTGTTAATAAAAAAACTATTTTCCTTAAATAAGTTAGGGTTTTATTTATTTTTAAAATGCTGTGGATTGAAGCCAAGGCCTCGCATGTGGTAGGCAAGTATCTAACTATTAGACTCTCCCTAGGTGTTTCAGTCTTCAATAAGCTGTCAAGATCTTTTTGTGACAGCCAAGGCTGGCCTTGAATTTGTACTCCTCTTGCCTCCTTTTCCCCTCAGTCCAGAAGCTGGGACTTCTGGTCTATCACTATGCCTAACTTTAACAGAGCTTAAATAAAAGTCTATATAATCCAAGTGAGATAACTGACAATACCATTTAACTATAAAAAAATTAAATAACTTAAAAAAACGTACTCACATATGAAACACCAGATGGGTCGATCATATAGAGCTGTGCACCGTCAGTGGCACTGTAAGACCCCAACATGAAACTGCATAAAAACAAGGAGTTTAGAACACAGTGCTCAGTACCGTTTGTACAGAAGACCAATGTGATGAATCTGCAAGTAGATTCCCTCAGATACATTGCTAACATTACTTACAGTACGTTCTTTTTGAAAAACAGCTATAATAAAAACTGCTAAACTATGAAACTACAGTATTCAGAATCCGTGGGACTTGTTTACTTTGTCAACCTTTTTTGAAACTTTATTCTGCAATGTCAAAAATGTAGCAAAAGAATTACAGACAGGTAATGAGAAAACAATGAAAAGGCACGATGAGCAAATCACTGCACAATAAACGGCCAAGACAATTTCTGCTGAAAAAGCACCCTATGTTTGATTCTCCAGTATTCCTCTAGTCATTTTTCTGCAATGGTCAGAAATGGCTCATCTTTATATGTTCAACAAATTAAAACTAGGTTGTTAAATGATCATGAATTACCAATTTTCTGAAACTATTTCTTTTACTTTAGAAAAGTGAGCCTAAAAAAAAAAAAATTAAATTAAAAAAAAAAAAAAAGGAAAAGAAAACTGAGCCAGCCTTATTTTAGCCTATCATATCATGTGGATCATCTTAGGAGCCAACAATCCCAATCAGTACCCAGCTTTTTCCCGTCCAACCTGATTCCTCTCTCAGAAAATATCTGTGTGTGTGTATGTATGTATGTATGTATGTATGTATATAAATGACTATCATTTAAAAACCCTTCCACATGTCCTTTTGGAGTTGTTAACTCTGACCTCTTGGCACATCTGCAGTATCGTCTCCACATTCCTTTCTACTACTCCGCACTCCCTAAGTGCCTGGGTTTCACACCAGCACAGAACAGTCTTTACCCATTCCCCCAATATTTCAAGCATCTTTCCTTGTCACCTTTCCAGAAACAGACCACACCTTAATTGCTGTCCCACCATATTCTGTACCAATGCCGGGATCCTATCGTTTTATTTCTAAGGTTTGTTTCATCAGTGTGACATGTGTGTCCTACCTTAAGAACTGATAATTACTGTATATGCTCAGAAAACCCTTTATTCATAGAAAGGAGCTGACGAATGTGGAACTCAGTTACAATGAAAGACAATATATGAAGTCAAAAGAGAGGTTCCAAGAGTAATTAGAGTAATTTAATTTAACAAATGTCCCATTGGTTCTAACACTGTTAATGATTGAAAATTCATGTTTTCAATAAATCTGTCATTTCTGTATTTAAATATGGCTGATAGACAACTTAAAAGGCAGAACCACAGCTACATAGAGATATTTGGCTGTGATAAAACACAGCCAACTAAGACTTGTTTTCTTCACTTAGTGTCAGTCTTTCATATCCCTGGTTGGCCTTAAACTATGTAGCTAAGAATAACTTCTGATCTTCCCACTGATACCTCCTGAATACCCAGATTACAGACACAGCATGCCTAGCTCATGAGCTGTTAGGTAGGAAGCACTCTACTGAGTTACAGCTCCAACCAATAATGTCTTCATTTCAAATATAGTCCTAACAGTTCTCCCAAGAACCCTTATAACAATGTTATAACACCCACTACACTTCTTGCTATAACTGAATCCCCTCTTTCTCTAGCTAACACTTCATTTTAGCAATAGAAATTTAGTTAGGTATTTAAATGAATTTTAATCAGATTAAAATGATAACTACAAGTTTCCTCCTGACTTTAAGACCACTATAATTCCTTTTACTATTCCACTAGTTTTTATGGTTTTTTTTGTTTGTTTTGAGGCAATGTCTCTAGATTGTCTAGCTTTGAACTCACTATGTAGTCCACACTGACCTTGAAGTTGTGCCAATCCTCTTGCCTCAGCCTCCTGAGGACTGGGATCACAAGCATGTAACATCACACCTAGCTTTTATGTATACTTTTAAGGTTGCCTACTACTTCTTGGTGAGAATTTGTATTTCACTATGTCTAAGAGGCTAATCTGGGGAACTGGATCGATGTCTCAGTTAGCAAAGCACTTGCTGTACAAGCCTGATGACCTGAGCTTGGATCGCCAGCCCCAGCACAGCAGTAGGACAGACATTTTTTTTGGTTTTTCGAGACAGGGTTTCTCTGTGTAGCCCTGGCTGTCCTGGAACTCACTCTGTAGATCAGGCTGGCCTCGAACTCAGAAATCCACCTGCCTCTGCCTTTCAAGTGCTGGGACTAAAGGCGTGTGCCACCACTGCCCGGCAAGGACAGACATTTTTAATAAAAGTTTAATTCATGGAGAAAAGGAACTGCTATATAAATATGATTTAAAGGTTTCACAAAATTTCATACCTGCAGCCAAAAGGTCTAACAGCACTGTAGAGTGTGTAAGCGTGTACATACATGGCCACTCTGTCTGCGAGATGCTGGGAGGAAAAGACTTTATTAGTACATTTCCATTAGTGTTCAAAACGTTTATCACATATTTGTCAACTTACTTTTAGAGGAATGTTATAGCCAAAGTTAGACCTAAAGTTGGACGCTTCTTCTCTTGCTATGTCTGCTAATGAACGAGCATCTGCCAACAAACCTGCAACTGCCTGGAGGAAAAAGTACCAATTTAACATACACTCCTGTAACACACCAAAGGCAAACAGTTTATTATTAGCTTATCAAATAGTTTTTAAAATTAAGTATCAAATACTATCTTTGATAAACAGTCTTTAAAAGGCATTTTGATAACAAGTATAGAAAGAAGAAAGTAGGCCTTAACTTTCTCTACCCCTTTCAGCGGTTAACATTTTGCCAAATTCTGCATAACTTAGGTGAGCCTTGAACCTGGGCTCAACCTCCTGAGTAACTCAACCTCCTCAACCGCCTGAGTAACTGGCATACCAGGCCTGAGCTACCAGGCCCAACCAATTTCTAAGAATGAAGAATGCCGCCAGACAGTGGTGGCACACATCTTTAATCCCAGCACTTGGGAGGCAGAGGCAGGCGGATTTCTGAGCTCGAGGCCAGCCTGGTCTACAGAGTGAGTTCCAGGACAGCCAGGGCTACACAGAGAAACCCTGTCTCGAAAAACCAGCCCCCCCACCCCCCAAAGAGCACCAACAGCTTGATAGCTTTATATAAGAAAAAGGATAAATTTGAGCATCTAGCATAGGATCAAAACTTTTCTCTCCCTCAAGTGCCCATTGTAAAAGACTACATAACTGCCTTCTACTAGTTTTCTTTTGACAAGTCTCATCAGAGCATCATAAGCACAAGGAGTAAATCTGTTCAGGACAGGAAATGATTGGGAAAATCCTTATGAAGGGAAAAAAAGCCTTAAGGCTTACTGGCTACTATCAATTCTTTTATGTATAGCACCATCTCTCTCTTAGAAATAAAACTACCACTGAATATTACTTTGTAACAGGCTCTGGAGTAACACTGAAACTAAGTTTGAATCCAACTTTTCCTTAGCATCTGTTAGTTAGCTCATCTGTAAAAAACGTAATGGTCAGGATTAAATGATCTAAATTATGTGACAAGCCCATATCCGTAACACCTAGCACACAAGCTGTTTTCTTCCCATTCAGAAAGCAGAGTGAAGACAGTTGAGAATGTTTTTATTATGGTAGTTCCTAAGGAATAAAGCATCATCTACACACGATACCTTCAGTGCACACCAGGAGTCCATTTATGGTCTGGCTTACACGTGCGCTTATGCAGCAGCTGCAGGACTTAGCAGAGATGTCTAAAAAGCTGCTCATGTTCATTCGCCCTTTTACTTTACATCATTTCTTCTCCCCAGACCTTACTACAAAGTGTTCTGATGACACTAGTGACAACCCCATGATGGATACAAAAAGCTTAAATTAACATCCTTTGCCACCAAATACTTATCATCCCCTGGTGATCTATGCTGTTAAGATCTCATTTCTGCATCCTCCACATCCTTCACCCTCTCATCTTTAAAACAACTTGTGTTTTCTTGCCACCAGTAAGGTTATGAAATTGTTTTAGACATTGAGTTGATCAAAACACAATAAAAAACTTAATATTATTGTGGCTGCTCAATCATGTATTACTGCCTTAATAGTAAACAAATGAACTCATAAAACAGAATTTAATATATTTTGGTTATATCAAAAGAAATTGAAAAAAACAAAGATGAACATTTTTAAAGTGTGACCTCACCATTCCAACATGTCGATCAACATTAAAAAGACGTTTATTGGAGCCTTCTTCATAAAGTTTAGAAAGGACTAGTTTTTCTACTCCAAATACAACACCGTCTTTACATCTGATCCCAATAGCTGTACTGAAACAAGAAGAATTTTTTTAGCTGAAATAGAAGAAACTTAGTAAGATTTTATATATATGTGTGTGTATGTGTGTGTGTGTGTGAAAGGGTTGACTACAGTTCAGATGATAGATGGCCCAGATTGAAAGCATGGTACACTCAGTCCCCAGCCCCATATAACAAATACACAAAGCTGTGAGCACACTTGTAATCCCAGCACCTGGGAGATGGAGGCCAGAGCATCAAAAGTTCAAGGTCACAAGGAGTACCTGGGAAGTTGGAGGCAACCTGGGCTACAAGAGACTTTGTCTCAAGGCTGATTTAGGACTGAGATGACAGCTTAATTGGTAGTGTTTGTCCAGTACTACACAGAAACTAGGCATAGTGGTACACACCTACAATCCTAGCACTAGAGGCAAGATTAGAAGTTCAAAGTCATCCTCTGCTACACAGTGAGTTGACAACCTAAGATACAGGGGACCTTATCTTAACAATAAACAAAATAAATATTTAAAGCATGTAAAATATTTTTAAACAAGTATTTTGTTGTTGTTAAACTTGGCAGCACTTTATTGGATTTACTTATTTTCTGTGTGTACCTGCATGTGTGTGCTCTCAGAGTCATATGCAGAGGACAGAGGACACGTGGAGGGAGTTACTTTTCTCCTTTCACCAAGTGGATCTCAGGGATCAAATTCAGGTCACCAGGATGGTGGTAGGTGCCCCAAAGAGGGAATCATCTTATTGGCCCACTTTAAAATACTTAAAAACTAGAAGCCAGGTGTGGTGGCACCCTGTCTCAAACAACAGCAACAAAGAGAAAGTCTTACTATGTAGCCCTTGGCTGGCCTGGAACTCACAACAACCTGCCATTGCCTGCCTCTCTCAAGTGCTGGGACTAAAGGTGTCTGCCACACCAGGCCCAGATTTTTAAGAGAGAGCACCCGCCGGCTGTAGTGGCGCTCACCTTTATTTATCTCTTTATTCCTAGCACTCGGGAGGCAGAAGCAGGAGGATGTTTATGAATGTAAGGCCAATCTGGAACTCTGAGTTCCCAGACAGCCAGGGCTGTTAGATAGAGAAACCTTGTCTCAGAAACCAAAAATGAACGAGCAGGCAAACAAAAGGGTACATAACACATGCAAAGAAAAGATACAGCTACCAAACTAAAACTAATCTAAGTATTTTTATTTTGTTCATCTATTCTGCAATAAACATGTATTACTAGTAAATATATAAATCAATAAAATCTATGTTCTGTTACAACTCAGCTCCTAATCTCAAGTAAAATATGGATAAACCATATGATGTTACTTTCAGATTAAAATATGTTTCTTAGTTTATTTTTCTTTTTCTTGCTGATGTAAAGAGGCACTAGAAATCATACCAGGTTTTTGCATATGCTAGGCAGCTGCTCTCAATCTCAGCTACATCCCTGGTCCTCTTTGTAATTTTCATTTCATTAACTTGTTACTAATGTTAATATGCAACTATTACCAATTTTACAAACTTACCATTTTTCTTTGAGTGCTGCGAACTGTGCCTCCTGCATAGTCAGCATGTACCACTAAGGTCCATCTCTAGCCCTACAGGGACTTGTCCTGCTTGTCTTTGTTGTGTCTCTGTGTGTACTGCTGGGATCAAACACCGGGCATAAGTACACTCTGAATCCTTCCTAAGTTCTTGTTTTTGTTTTGTTGGTTTTTTTGAGACATGGTTTCTCTGTGCAGCCCTGGCTGTGCTAGAACTGACTCTGTAACTGGGCTGGCCTAGAACTCACAGAGATCCTCCTACTTCTTCCTCCTGACTGCTGGGATTAAAGGTGTGTGCCACCATGGCTGGCTCTTCTGAGTATTTTTTAACTTCAGCTGGCTGAACCTAAACATGTAAAACTTATGTATAAAGCTATCTATTTACAACTATAAGCCATTTTAATAAATACTATTAGTAATAACAGTAAACAGTAAATAGGTAAGCAGTTTATCATTAGGTATTTGTTGTTAAGACCAATAAATTCTCTTGTCAACTTGTTCTTTTTTTTTGAGGAAAACTCTTTTTTCTTTGTGTGGTGCTGAGGACAGTAAGACCCACACACGCCAGGCAGTACTGCTAGTCAGTACTGTACGAGTGAACTACATCACAGTGGCTAATTTATAATAACTTTGGAGAACAGCATTATTACATCTATTTTACAAATAAAGAACCTGAAGCAAAATAATTATATGTTCATCATTAGCAAGTAATACAACAATAGTTAAACTCAAGTGTCTGCCTTTGGGCTTCTGTCAACTCCTGCCTGCCTAAGTGTCTGGTTAGGAACACCCCTCAAAAATATACAAGGAACTGGGCTGGGGAAAGTCAGAACTATTATCTCAACAGAAACAATGTAAACCTCTCTATTATAAACTAATATTTAAATTTTCAGCTTTTATTTCTAATATGTTAAGTAATGGTATAACCTATAACCTGCACAAATTAATAAACATTTTTTTAGATTCCCCAATAATTTTTAAAAATATAAGACATAATGACACAATTATAATTCCAGAATTAAGAAGGTTGAAGCCAGAGGACCACAAGTTTTAAGGAACTTTACACAGGAAGTCCTATGTCAGTTTGAGTATGCAAAATAAAATAAAATAAAGGTATAAAAGTTTACTAAGTGGATAGCCATGAGAACCCATCTTGGATCCCGTAACAGAAAAAACAACAACAATCCACAAATTGTCCTCTGATTTCTGCGCACATATGCAAACACACAGAAAATAAATAAATAAATAAATCTTAGGCCTAACAACTTAGTCCTTATAAAAGAACTTTCATAGTTGGGCTCTTCAATGAGAATAAAAAGAAAAGACTTTGTCTTTTCATATAACCATCTAAGACATATTTTTTATTTTTTATTTTTTTTGGTTTTTCAAGACAGGGTTTCTCTATGTAGCCCTGGCTGTCCTGGAACTCACTCGGTAGACTAGGCTGGTCTCGAACTCAGAAATCCACCTGCTTCTGTCTCCCAAGTGCTGGGATTAAAGGTGTGCGCCACCACCACCTGGCCTTATTTTTTTTTTTTAATTATAATTTTTAAGTATAAATGCACTTGTGTGGGCATGTGCAAGACTGCAGGTGCCTGTGGAGGCCCGGGAGGTCAGATTCCTGAGCTGCCACATAGGTCTGGGACCCAAACTCAGTCCCCTGCAAGAACAATATAATCTTAACCACTGAGCCATCTCTCCACCCCTAAGAGAACACTATCAGAAAACAGAATCACAGCATATGTATTTCCAGTATAGTGCTTTCAGGCACCTACTTGAATATCGCTAATTACTTATTTTGGTATTTCTTAAATTTAACAGGTACTTGTACTGACTGGCAAAGCACTTTCCCGTCATGCACCCCAAAACACACAAAAAAATTAATCACCTTTTGATGTGAACATAATCTTAAAATTATTAGCTTCAATATTTACTGTTTAAACACATCTAGTTCATGGGGTGCTAGAGGGCAACCCCAGAGCTTTGTGTGCACTACACAAACACTCTACCCACTGAGCTACAGTCTCATCGGTTCTTTCTTTTACTCAAACACTTCTTTAAAAGATTTTTGATTTTGTTTTTTTGAGAAAGGATTTCTTTGTGTAGCCCTGGCTAACCTGGAACTCGATCTGAAGACCAGGCTGACCTTGAACTCAGAGAGATCTGCCTGCCTCTGCCTCCAAGTGTTGGGACTAAAGGTGTGCAGCACCACCTGGCAAACGATTTTTATTTAAGTGTGTGGACATCTGTTAATGTATGTGCATGTGTGGGTGGGTAATGTACAGAGAGCAGAGGAGGGCACTGGAACTGCTGGGAGCTCATTCTGTTAGTGGTACTGGGATCTACACCACAGTCCTCAGGACTGTGCAGCAAGCACTCGTAACCACTAAGTCATTTCCAGTCCAGTATTCATTTTACATAGGGAGAAAAAAAAATGCATCTTTAATCCTAGCCCTAGAGGCAGGTGAGTCTCCTCAGGCCATCCAAGGCTGTTTTTTGTTTGTTTGTTTGTTTGCTTGTTTGTTTTGAGACAGGGTTTCTCTGTGTAGCCCCATCAGTAGACCAAACTGCTTCCAAAGTTAGAGATCGACCTGCCTCTTCCTTCCAGTTGCTGGGATTAAAGGTGTGAGCTACCACCACCAAAACTGTTTTTTAAAAAATAAAATAATCTAACAGGATAGCTCACTGGGTAAAAGTGTATAATGCAAGTCTGATTACTTGTTTGAACCCTGGAACACAAATGTAGACGGAAGATCTACTCAAGAAGGAGCTCTGAGGAGGACTACAAGTAGGTTGAGGTTACTTCGGGGTATGATATTTGCTTATGCTAAAGCAACATTACAAAGTCTAATTACCAAAGCATACAAAATAAAGATAATGCCTGAGTAAAACACTCACTTCAGATAAAACAGTGCTTCTTACCTACTGTTTTCCACAGCCTTCATGGCATATTCAACTTGGAAAACTCTTCCGTCAGGAGAGAACGTAGAGGCTGACAGGTCATACTAAAACAAAGAGAACAACAGTAAGTTTACACGAAAGTTTCTGCCAACAACAGTTAGACAATTTTTCTTCCTAAATAGCTCAAACACTATGAATGTGTCATACCCTAATAGAAACTGCTTTGCAAATAAAAAAATGTTACTGCAGTTGCTCAGGGAAAACTACAACCTTAGATGGTTCAGTTGTTAAGAGCACCTGTTGCTACTGCAGAGAACCTGGGTTGGTTTCCCAGAACTCGGAGGGTTAAAACCACCATTGAGCCATCTCTCTAGCCCATTCTTTTACTTTCAAATCAGGAATCACAAACCTATGTGAATCAGGCATTACATATGTGATCAAAGCCAGAACAAAACATGATGAAATAAAAAGAAACATCAAGAATAACTTCTGGGCTGTAGAGATGGCTCAGCAGTTAAGAGCACTGACTGCTCTTGCAGAGGTCCTAAGTTCAATTCCCAGCAACCACATGGTGGCTCACAACCATCTGTAATGGGAATTCAATGCCCTCTTCTGGTGTGTCTCAGGGCAGCAATAGTGCACCCACATACATGAAATAAGTTATACTTTAAAAAGAAAAAAAAAAAAAAAAGAGTAACTACCAATGACTTCATCAAGGAAACTCTGCTAGGGCAGCAGAACCTCAGTGATGGGGACAAGTCATCTATGACATGGGAAAGATTCCTGGAAAGTGACAAGTAGAGATGTGTCAAGGACCAGAGGTAGAGGTGTCTTTAACACTCTAAGTGGTGAGAAACTCCAGGCGTGCCAGAGTCAAACTAGGTTGGGGAAGTTGTTTACATTTTATTATTGATGTAATGAGGTGTTGAAATGGAGGGGTTGTATGATCTAACTCATGTGTTGTGTCTGCTTAACATTTATTGTGTGTGTGCACAAGGTGCACATCAAGAGGTCAGGGGACAACCTTCCAGAGTCCGTCTTCTCTTCTTACCTTGTGGGACCTAAGAATCAACCTCAGCATCTCAGAAACCTAACTTAGGTGTTAAAATTAAGTCTTGGTGGCATTCCACAGGCCCAAATTCAACATTTAAAAATATCACTCTGGCTGGAAAGACACTGAGCAGTTAAGAACATTTGCTGCTCTTCCAAAGGACTTGGGTTCAATTCTCAGCACCCACATAGTGGCTCACAACCACTTCAATAGCTTCAGTTCGAGGGGATCTGACACCCTCTTCTGGCTTTGGATAGACAACAGACAAACATGTGGTGCAACATACATACACATAGAAGTTAAAAAAAGAAAATTCACTCTGGCTTTAGGCTGAAACAAAGGTAGAGACAAGTGTGGGTGTGGAGCTCAGATATTCCAAACAATAGTGGCTTTGACCACACAAAAGAAAAGGAAACAACCCTTTAGGAGGCCATTCAATGTAACAACCATGGAGCTAGGAAGGCAGCTCACTTAGCAGCACAGAGTGTAGGGTAATCCCTGGGCATAAAGAATCCCGTGTAAGAAAACACACATTTGTTAAGGGCTGCTCTTGCTGGAAAGTAAAAAAACAAAAAAACAAAAAAAGACAATTAACGGACTTTCATTTTAACAACCAGAATTGGACCATTCATTAAGCTGAAGACAACAGGAGATTGTTCATACAGAATTCACAATTAAATCATCCTTTCTTGCTGCACATCTAAGTGACAAGGATAGGTCCCGGCACTCACGTGATGACACAGAAGGATGCAGAGTTCTAGGCTAGGCTAGACTTCATATTATGGCCCTATCTCAACCCCCCCCACCCCACAATATTTTTTTTAATCGAATACAGGATTGGAGCTCAGTGGCTTGTCTACTATCTCTTGAGGCCCTAGGTTGGCCTTCCCAACTGCCCAGCGGTACTGGTTGTTGTTTAAAAAAAAAAAAATCAAATGGCCCGAAATGACTGGCAAATACTGGTATTTACAATTCTTAGTAGACAGCCAGGAGCCAGAAAACAAGCTTTCAATAGTGAAACTTCCTAAAGCTCGGTGTTATTTTCATACTAAAATATTCCACATAGTTTGACCACTGACAGAAGACAATATTAATACAACTGCAAAGCCAATTTGCTGTGAGATATTATTGAGTACTTATCCCCAAAATACTACATAATATTAATAGCTCATAATCACTTAAATTATTCTAAGCATAAGAAACTCAAAACACAATATGTGTGTTTAATTCTGAACATCAAACCTTTTTGTGGTTTTGTGTGTGTGTGTGTTTTGTTTTGAAGACAGGGTCTCTACATAGTTCTGTTTGTTCTGGAACTCATTAAGTAGACCGGTTTGGCCTCGAATTCAGAGATCCTCCTATCTCTGCCTCCCAAGTGCTGGGATTAAAGGAGAGCATCAAAATATTGGGGGAAACAAGGATAACCACGAAACGCATTATTCATTGTTTCTACTGCAAATAGTCAAGATGTTAAGTAGTTCTATATGGAGACAAAGGAAAGGTGGGGTAAATCACTGCACACACAGGGTGTATTTAGCCCCAACAAATTAAAGTCAAACTCGCAAACCCTCAATACTCCTTAAAAATCTGAGGCACTTAGGTCCACAGATAACCCTTTAAATGCTTACAGATTCGCTTAAAATAAGCTTGTTCACGAAAAGCAGAACAAAGGGGAAAGGCAAAGAATTCATGAGATCGAGCCTTTCTTCTAGGTTGTGTCTTGATGTTTTTCCAGGGACTGTCCACTAAGTTTGTCAGGGAAACCCGAGCAGGCCTGTGAGTCAGCAGCACCGCAGCACCTGCACTGGCGGGCGGCGGCCGCTCGGGGATCCGGCCGAGACACTGCGACCATCAGGGGCTCGCAGAGGCCTCTGCAGGGTCGAGCAGGGGCGCTCACACTAGGGCAGGCCCGCGAGTCTCCACTTTCAATTTCCTTAAGCATGAGCTGAAAGTGACTCAGCAACCCGGGCTGTCGCTGCGAGGGGGCGGACACGACCGGCCCGAACCGCCGCAGGAGCCGGGGCCACCGAGACAGAGGCCGCCGTTCCGCAAGACTCCCGCAGCGCCGGGGGTCCAGCAGCCCTCTTAGCCGCAGCCAGGCTCCCTCACTGCCTTCAACGCCGAGCTGGAAAAGACCGCGCGGAGAAACTCACCCCAGTGCCAATGGAACTCATGGTTCTGACCCGGCAGGCCACCGAACGCTTCCAGGCCTCAAGCGCCGCTCCTACGCCGCACGCTGCGCAGGCTAGTAACAGGCTCGCCCATTGGCTGCGCTCTCCACCAATAGCCTTTCCTCTTGCGGCTTGTTCTGTGGACTAGGAAGAAGACTGTAGGAAAAGAGAGGGCGCGTGCGCAGAAGCCAGAGCGGCTGTTCCTCAGAGAAGTTGGTACTGTGTCAACTGAAACTGGTATTGGCAATGCTAAGGTCAGAGCCTGGTCCCTAATAGTCCTAAGGAGCTGGGCTTCGGCACCTGTCCTCCGTAGCCCACACAGTCAAGAATTCTTAAAAGTAGCAGAAGGAGCAAAAAGGGCCAGTGACCCCCATTCCTCCGCCAAGTTCATCATCAGAGTCGTAACATGACGTCTGGGTTTAAATAGAAGCAACTGCTGTGCATAACTAAACAGTCTTGGTCAAGGTGTGTTACTTCATCATAGTTTCAACTTTAGCTTCTCCTGCAAGGTCACGGTGTGACAAAATGTATGAACTGTGAAATCATGTGTGAGAGAAAGCTGTCCCTCTGTCTGGAACCAGACAGGCTTCAAACTTTCCTTCAACCAGCATGTAATTCCTGGAGAAGTTCCAGTTTCTTGGAGTCTTATCAAAAAGAGGAGCATAAGTGTGTCTTTAGAATATCTTCATTCTTACTAGGAAGGTTACAAAACTTGGCGTTAGGAAAGGCTACGGTGTCTTGAGGAACGCAGTTGCCAGGCTGATTCTAGCAATTATCAAGTTACTATCTCAATATTTTAAGAATTATGTGAGGGAGGGCAACAGATAAATCAGAGAAAAGGGCGTGGAACCCGACCTTGTGGTGGTTGGATTTTAAATCCAATTGTAAATAAAATGGCAGAAGCATTTTTATTTTTTAAAAAAATCTGGAGACTTTTATTTTATATAGCTAAAAAATACTTTCCAGCACGGTGATGTAGGTCAATAATCCCGATACTCGGAAGGCTGGGACAGGAGGATCTCCAGGTCAAGGCCAGCTTGGAATATAAGAGCCCTGTCTAAAAACAAACATTATCAACAAAAACACATTTAAAAAGCCCTACAACTGCACTATCAATCAGATTTATTTTGGTTTGTTGTTTTGTTGAAGCAGTCTCAAGTATCTTAGGCTGGCCAAACATAGCATTGATTTCCTAATCCTTCGGCTTCTACCTACCAAAAGCTGGAATTACAGCCCTGGTCCATCACTCTAAGCTTGGGTAATGTCTTTCATAAGAAAAAGAGGAGAGCCGGGCGGTGGTGGCGCACGCCTTTAATCCCAGCACTCGGGAGGCAGAGGCAGGCGGATTTCTGAGTTCGAGGCCAGCCTGGTCTACAGAGTGGGTTCCAGGACAGCCCGGGCTATACAGAGAAAC